CACAAGGACAGAGGTATCAAGAAGGAAATTCCTGCTGGGACACCGAGGGCTGATGTTCATGGAGCATTTTCTTGGCAGCTCTTGGGACTCCCAGGCAGAGCAGGCCCAGAAGCATCTCCAAAACCTGGAGAGGGGAAGGAGGGTTTGAGCTCATTAGAGACCAGGGAAGCTTTTGGGATAAATAAAGGCTGAGCAGGAAGAATGGGCTCTGTGTAAATCCAGATGGAATCCCACTTTGGCTCCTCAGGAAAGGTTATAAAGGTTGGTGAAGTGGAACAGGGAAAAACTTGATAGCTTTGGAAGGATCTGGGGCTGGGGATGCGTGGAGAGGGGATCATCCAAAGGCTTTGTCCCTGGAACAGTGGGATGGAGGTTCATAAAGTTCAGAGGGGAAATTGCAAAGGAAATGTCCCCAGTAAATCCCCATCCAGGCAGAGCTTGTGGAATGAAACATCTGAAAGGAGGCTGGAGCACGAAGGGAGAGTGTGAATCTTGTACCTGCCAATGAGCTGCTGAGCCCAGGGTGAGGGGAGCTCAGCTTGCAGGGGTCGGAGGGGCAGTTGGGGTGAGGTGAGGTCCCTGCAGCCTGGGAACCTCCAGGGTTGGGCTGTGGTGCCAGAACGGGAATGGTGAGGGGTTGGATCACACCTGGGCTGTGAGAGCTGCAGGAGCAGCTGGGACAGGGAGAGCTCCCGTTCCTCCCCTGTCCATGGGATCCCAGGGAGGCTCCACACACAGATCTTTAGGAACTGTGCATGTTTTGTGCATGGAATGAGCCAGGAAAAGGAGAAAAGAATGGTGGTATCCCTTTGGGGCTGTGAGGGCTGGAAGGGCTGGAAGGTCCCTCTGTGGTGGTGACAGTGGCATCCTCAGCCTCTGCTCCTTGGGCAGCACCAAGCCTGGAACAGCAGCAGCAGGGCCTGAGGGGCTTTGGGACCTCCAGGGCTGGAACTGCAGGAACAGGAGGAGGCTGCTGGGGGAGGGAATGGTGCAGGGAAAGGGTCAGAGCTCCCAGCTGGCCTGGAAGTGGCTTGTCCCAGTGGCTTGTAGGGAATGCAGAGATTGGGAAAGATCCTGGTGTAGAAACCTGTGGTCACAAATCACTAATAACCCATTGTGGGAAAAGTGTCCTCACCAGAGGGATGGGGTGGGTGGGAAGGGCCTCAGAGCCCCTCCAGTGCCAGCCCTGCCATGGCAGGGACACCTCCCACTGTCCCAGTGCCCAGCCTGGCCTTGGGCACTGCCAGGGGTGCAGGGGCAGCCCCAGCTGCTCTGGGCACCCTGTGCCAGGGCCTGCCCACCCTGCCAGGCAGGAACTCCTTCAGTTCCTTTGTGGAGGGCAGATCTGCAGTTCCCGTCTCACCTGTGCTGGCTCTGGTGTGTCACTGCAGGTACCCCAACACGGCCTGCGAGCTGCTCACCTCGGACGTGCCGCAGATCAACGACAAACTGGGCGGGGACGAGACCCTGCTCAACATCCTCTACGACTTCCTGGACCATGAGCCCCCCCTGAACCCCCTCCTCGCCAGCTTCTTCAGCAAGACCATCGGGAACCTCATTGCACGCAAAACAGAACAGGTGGGGATGGGTCTGTCCCGCTCCCGGGAATTCCCTGGCACTGCCCGTGCTGTGTCCTTGCTGTGAGCTCATCACCCTGGAGCTGGGGTTAAGGTGGAGGTGAAATGGGGTCTCTGAAAGTTCTCAGAATTCCTCAGTGCAGGGACATGCTGCTGTGGACAGACTCTTCCCAGGGCTTTGGGTTGGGATCTGCCACCGCCAGGATATCCCCATGGCACAGCTAAAGCTTCACTTTTCATAGCAAGGCATTTTGAGGATCATCAGAGTCATCCCAATACATACACAAGGCCTCAGGCTCATCCTCGTGCAAGGGGTGCTGAGGCTTGGGCTGAACAGGCATTCAGGAATTCTCACATCCCAGTAAATACCGGGGTTGTAAATGCTGCCTGGTAGGGAGCTTGAGAGGAAAGGAGAATCCTCCAGCTTCACTTACTTCCATGGCATTGGGTTTGTCTGTGACACAGAGGGGAGAAAAGCTGGCTGAAAAGATCTCATTTGGTGTTGCCTTGGAATAAGAATTATTACCTTGTTCCCTGGAGAGTTCCCAGCCCAAGGTCAGTGGTTGAGACAAAAAGGAGAAGCTGTGGGAGCTGTGAGGGAGGAGTTGTGAGGGAGTTGAGGGGGATCTGTGAGGGAGCTGTGGGGGATTTGTGAGGGAACTGTGTGTCCCGCTGGCAGCTGATGCAGGCTCCTGTTTCCACAGGTGATCTCATTTTTGAGGAAAAAGGACAAGTTCCTGAGCCTGGTGCTAAAGCACATCGACACCTCTGCCATGATGGACCTGCTGCTGCGCCTCATCAGCTGCGTGGAGCCCACGGCGCTGCGCCAGGACGTGCTCAACGTGAGGGCCTTCCCCTGCCAGCCCCTGTCCCTGCCTGGCTGGGGACAGCTGGGGCCCGTGGCTGTTTCATCCCAGGAGCACACCCACCCCTCAGGCAGCTCCTGTTCCCAGGGCTGGGGTCACTCCGTGGGGTCCCCCATTGTGGCTCCAGGGCAGCAGCCTGGGTCACTCCTGGCAGCAAAGGGTTCCCGCTCGTTTTTCCATGGAGCAACCTCTCTTAGTCCAGCTGGAGAGCTTGGAGAAAGGGAAACTGCTTTCCCAGTGTTCAGAAATTCAGACATTGATTGGGACAGTAATTCGTGTAATTCCTTACCATGTTCAAGGAACCATAGAGTCAGGGAATCCTGGAATGGTTGGGGTTAGAGAGGGCCCTAATGCCCCTGCAGTGCCACCCCTGCCATGGCAGGGACACCTCCCACTGTCCCAGGCTCAGGAGCAGAGGGGCTCCAGACTCATCCCTGGAAATGTTTTTCCTTGTAATGGAAGTTTGCTCATTTCCCAGACAGCTGAGTTTGGGCATTGTTGGGATGAGTCTGGGGGATGTCACACGTGCAGCAGTTTTCCTGGAGCAGGAGTGGGATGTGAATGGAAACAGGTGGACATGAGGGGCTGAGCACGTGGGGCTGGCAGGGAGGAGTGGCAGGGAGCCTTTGGAGAGGACCTTCCTGGTTTGCCTGGGCCAGAAATGAGGATAGGGAATGGTTTACATGGAGAACAGGAAGTTCAAGCAAGGTGGAGCAAGGTGAAGGTGCAGTGACAGCTGTTGCAGCATCTGGCAGGAGGTGGAATTGCTGGGTGTGAGCAGCAGGAAGAGCAGGAGCTGCTGGGAGAGCGTGGTGGGTTCTGCCACCAGTGCTCAGATGAGGCTGTTTGTCCCCAGAGCATTCCATGTTTTCCAGAGGGCCCTGCGTGTTAGCTCCATGGCAGGATGCAAATCCACATCCATCCCCATCCCTGCTGATGCAAATCTGAATCCATCCCTGTCCCTGCCTTAGGGATGGGACTGGAGAGGGAAGGAAGGGCTTCCCAGAGCCCCTCTTGCCCTGTGTTCCCGGACATCCATTGAGGATTTTCTCTGCTGCTCTTTCCCCTGCAGTGGCTGAATGAAGCCAGGATTATCCAGAGACTCGTGGAGCTGATCCATTCGAGCCAGGATGAGGATGTGAGTGGCACAGGGCTGGGATTTGGGGGCTGGGTCCTGCAGGGTCTGGGAGATTTCCATTTGCCTTGTCCCAGTGACCTGTGGAGGAGCCATGGGGATGGCCTTGGGATGTCCCATCAGCTCAGCACCAGATGAGGGGAATTGGAGTGGTTTCATCTGCTTTTGACTCACTTTACTCCCAATTTCTTGGTTCTGCTGCCTCAGTTCATCTCAGTCCTACAAACAGTGGGGATTTCCCATGGGGTTAGGGAGGAGCCTGCTGTTCCTGGGAGATCCTTTAAAATCAGCCACTTCGTGCCATTTTCAAATCTTTCTAACCCCAAGTAGGAATTCAGTTGTAAAGTCCAGAAAATGGAGTTCTCTGAGCCCAATTCCCTCAGCTCATCCCAAGCAAACCTCCCTCTGTGAGGGGAAAACTGGGAACATCCCCATGGATTTGTGTTGGAGCAGATGCTGAGGTACAGTAGCTCCAGAGGCTTTGCCTGATGGCCAGAACTGGAGGATGAATTCCTCAAACACTCCTGGAAAGCCTTTTAAATCCCAGGAATTGAATGGTGAAGGGTTTTCTCAAGAAGGAAAGCTGAGCAGAGGAAGGATGGGATGTTTGTGTTGCAGATGTGCAGATTAGCAGGATTGAGGAGGGAAAAAGGAATCCTCACCCCTGAGCTCCTGAATGGTCTGGTTTGGGCCAGTCTCCTTTGAGTGCAAAGCCTGTTGGTGCTGCAGCTCCAGGAGTGTCCAGCCCTGAGTCACTGCAGGGGGAGCAGGAGTGGGGTTGATCCCAGCCAGAGCATTCCCAGCCTGGCCAGGCGCTGAGGCTGCTCCTGTCCTGTTTGCAGAGGCAATCCAACGCTTCCCAGACCCTGTGTGACATCATCAGGCTGAGCAGAGACCAGAGCACTCAGCTCCAGGATGTCCCGGAGCCAGATCCACTTCTCACAGCACTGGAATCGTGAGTCCTGGGGGCACTGGGCGTGCTGGGGGCACCGGGTGCCCTGGCAGTGGCACCTGGAGCGCTCTGCAGGGAGCAGACAGGGCAGGGATGTTCCTTTGGAGCTGGAGCTGCTCTCAATGGCCTCTTCAGTGATCTGGGCATTGGGGCTCTGTCGAGAGGCAGGAGTGGGGGCCAGGGAGCCCAAAGGTCCCACCTGACCCAGGGTGAGAGGCAAAAACCCAGGCAATTCCAGCCTGGAGAAGGGAGGGTTGTGTGGGACCTCACAGCACCTTCAGGGTCTGAAGGGATCTCCGAGGAATCCCAGGGCCTTCAATGAGGGCTGTGATTCCCTGCAGTCCCGGGGTGATGGCCATGGATGACATGGTACTTACAGACTTTTTGGGTAATTTTAGGCTTTCTTTGTAGTTTTGGAGAGGGCTATGGGACCCTGCACTTCCAGGAACTATCTCCAGAATTCTTGCTCAAAATAAAGGAGCATTTTGGGCAAAGGGGTTCTCTTGCTTCTCTTCCCTTTCTGTTGAAGTTCACAAAGCTCATTACCCTTCCTGGCCAATTTTCCCAGCATTACAGTGACCTTTTGGGTTTTGGCTAACTTTTATCATTCCTGAGTCAGGAATGAATGATCAGCATGAAGGAGGTGGGATCAGGGTTTGAGCCCCAAATCCAGGTTCAGGAGCTGCTGGCTGGGGGCAATAAAGGGAATTTGGTTCATTACAGAAAATTGCCTCCTTTTCCTGCTTCTGTCTCCCCCACTCTGTGGACAGAGGGTATTTAGATGCTTCTTATTAAAAGAATCCTCCCTCATGAATTATTCAACTATTTTTGCATTTTTGTATATTTTATTTATACCCATGGAAAGGAGACTTTTTGGAACATTAGAAAATAGTCAGGATTGGGCTGTGAACTCCAGGGATGATGGGTTTGACTGAACATGGGACTGGGGAAGGCAGGGAAGGGGAAGGGACTTCCTGAGGGCTGGATTTTGGGGAGCTGGGATGTGGAGGGGGACAGGAGCTGCAGGAACTGGAGCAACAACTGACAGAACCAGAGGACACAGTCTTAAACTGCGCCAAGGGAAATCCAGCTTGGAGAGCAGGAAAAAGCTTCTCCAGCAAGGGGGAGAGAGGTGGTGGAGTCACCTGGGTGTGTTTAACCAGCCTGGAGGTGGCACTGGGTGCCAGGGCCTGCCTGAGGGGCTGGGGCTGGGTTGGAGTCGATGACATTGAAGGTC